CCCAGGAGTTCAAAGTTACAGTGAGCTATAATTGTACCACTGCACTCCAACCAGGGCAACAGAGCAAGACCTGTCTCTAAAAATTAAAGTCAGCCGGCCGGGCGCGGTGGCTCAAGCCTTTAATCCCAGCACTTTGGGAGGCCGAGGCGGGTGGATCATGAGGTCAAGAGGTCGAGACCATCCTGGTCAACATGGTGAAACCCCGTCTCTACTAAAAATACAAAAAATTAGCTGGGCATGGTGGTGCGTGCCTGTAATCCCAGCTACTCAGGAGGCTGAGGCAGGAGAATTGCCTGAACCTAGGAGGCAGAGGTTGCGGTGAGCCGAGATCGCGCCATTGCTCTCCAGCCTGGGTAACAAGAGTGAAACTCCGCCTCAAAAAAAAAAAAAAAAAAAAAGAAAGAAAAAAAATTAAAGTCAGCCTAGTGCTGTGTGGTTCATGCCTGTAATGCCAGCACTCTGGGAGGCTGAGGTGGGTGGATTACCTGAAATCAGGAGTTGGAGACTAGCCTGGCCAACATGGTAAAACCCTGTCTCCACTAAAAATGCAAAAATTAATCTGGTATGGTGGCACAAGCCTGTAATCCCAGCTACTCAGGAGGCTGAGGCAGGAGAATGGCTTGAACCCAGGAGGCAGAGGCTGCAGTGAGCTGAGATTGTGTTACTGCACTCCAGCCTGGGAGACAAGAGTGAGACTTCATCTAAAAAAAAAATATTTAAAAAATCACCATAGCAAGGCCCGGCACGGTGGCTTAAGCCTGTAATCCCAGCACTTTGGGAGGCCGAGGCGGGTGGATCACGAGGTCAAGAGATCGAGACCATCCTGGTCAACATGGTGAAACCTCGTCTCTACTAAAAATACAAAAAAAAAAAAAACAACTGGGCATGGTGGCGCGTGCCTGTAATCCCAGCTACTCAGGAGGCTGAGGCAGGAGAATTGCCTGAACCCAGGAGGCGGAGGTTGCGGTGAGCCGAGATCGCGCCATTGCACTCCAGCCTGGGTAACAAGAGCGAAACTCCGTCTCAAAAAAAAACAAAGAAACATTTTTAGGCCAGGCACAGTGGCTCACACCTGTAATCCCAGCACTTTGGGAGGCTGAGGTGGGTGGATCACTGAGGTCAGAAATTTGAGACCACCCTGGCCAACATGGTGAAACCCCGTCTCTACTGAAAATACAAAAATTAGCCCAGCGTGATGGCAGGTGCCTGTAATCCCAGCTAATTGGGAGGCAGAGGCGGGGAGAATCACTTGAACCTGCAAGGGGAGGTTGCAGTGAGCTGAAATCAGCCATTACACTCCAGTCTGCGTGACAGAGCAAGACTCCATCGAAAAAAAAAAGGAAACTCTGAACAGCCTCTAGCCAACAGCCAGCCAGGAACAGAGGCCCTCAGGCCAAAAGCCCTTCAGGAACTGAATTCTGCTGAAGACCACAGGAGCCTGGCCTGGATTCTTCCTCCATTGTGCCCTCAGATAAAATGCTAGCCCTGGCCCACACTTTGAACAGGCTTGAGAAAGATTCTAAGGCAGAGGACTCAGTTGAGCCGTATCTGGACTTCTGATCCACAGACACTGTGAGATAATAACTGCGTTTGTGTAGTCTGTTTTCCTTTATTTTATTTTGAGACAGGTCTTACTCTTTCGCCCAGGTGGGAGTGCAGTGTTGCAATCCTGGCTGACTGCAACCTCTACTTCCCAGGCTCAAGCAATCCTCCCACCTGAGTCTCCTGAGTAGCTGGGACTACAGGCATGTGCCACCATGCCCTGCTAATTTTTTTCAGAGGGGAGGTGATGGAGTCTTGCTCTGCTGCCCAGGCTGGAGTGCACTGGCACAATCTAGTGTCACTGCAACCTCTGCCTCTTGGGTTCAAGTGATTCTCCTGCCTCAGCCTCTGGAGTAGCTGGGATTACAGGCATACGCCACCATGTCTGACTATTTTTTTTGTATTTTTAGTAGAGGTGGGGTTTCACCATGTTGGCCAAACTGGTCTCAAACTCCTGACCTCAAGTGATCCACCCACCTCGGCCTCCCAGAGTTCTGGGCTTACAGGCATAAGCCACCATGCCTGGCCCCTGCTAATTAAAAAAAAGTGTTTTGTTGTTTTTTTTTCTAGCAATGAGTTCTCACTTTATTGCCCAATCTGGTCTTGAACTCCTGGGCTCAAGTGATCCACCTGCCTCAGCTTCCCAAAATGCTGGGATTATAGGCATGAGTCACCCTGCCTATAATAACCACACCCAAGAAAATGAACAGTGATTGTTCATTTTCTTGGGTGTGGTTATGTAATGTACTCATATACCGCAATGTCTTGATTCTTAGTAGATAAACGTTAAAGTATTCGAAGTGAAATGTCATGATATGTACAACTTAATTTCTTTTTTTTCACCATGTTACTGAATGTACAACTTAATTTCAAGTGGTTCAATGAAATAAAAAGTATTATATATGTACAGTTAGCCCTTGAATAACATGAAAATTGTGGGTTCTAACCCCCTACATAGTTGAAAAAAATCCATGTATAACTGTTGAATTCCTCAAAACTTGTCGAATACAAATGGCCCACTATGGACCCAAAGCTTTACTGATAATGTAAACAGTCAATTAATGTATTTTGCCTATTATGTATATTATACACTGTATTCTTACAATGAAGTAACCTAGAGAAAACATTTTTATTAAGAAAATCATGGGCCGGGCGCGGTGGCTCAAGCCTGTAATCCCAGCACTTTGGGAGGCCGAGGCGGGTGGATCACGAGGTCGAGAGATCGAGACCATCCTGGTCAACATGGTGAAACCCCGTCTCTACTAAAAATACAAAAAACTGGCTGGGCATGGTGGCGCGTGCCTGTAATCCCAGCTACTCAGGAGGCTGAGGCAGGAGAATTGCCTGAACCCAGGAGGCGGAGGTTGCGGTGAGCCAAGATTGCGCCATTGCACTCCAGCCTGGGTAACAAGCGCGAAACTCCATCTCAAAAAAAAAAAAAAAAAGAAAATCATGTGATAAAATATATATATACACACATATATATTTCAGTCTACTTTGCTTCCCAGGCTGGATTACAGCTGCACAATCATAGCTCATTGCAGCCTCAACCTCCCCTCACTCAAGCAATTCTCCCACCTCAGCCTCCTGAGTAGCTGGGACTATAGGTGTGTGCGACCATGCCTAGCCAATTTTTTGAGTTTTGTCATGTTGCCCAGGCTAAGACAAAATACACTGATTATTTCTTAAGTGGAAGTGGATCATCGTAAAGATCTTTATCCTTGTCATCTTCATATCTTCGCTGAGGAGGAGGAGGGAGAAGAGGGTTGGTCTTGCTGACTTAGGGATGGAAGAGGCAGAAAAAAAATCCACGTCTAAGTGGACCCACACAATTCAAACTTGTGTTGATTAGGGCTCAACTTCGTGTGTGTGTGTGTGTGTGTGTGTGTGTGTGACATATATAAGCAAATATGGCAAAAAACTAACAATCTGTGGACTACGTGAAGGTTATAGAATATTTCTTTGTGCATTTTTTTTTTTTTTTTTTTTTTGAGACAGAGTCTTGCTGTGTTACCCACGCTGGGACACAGTTGTGCAATCTCGGCTCACTGCAACCTCTGCCTCCTGGGTTCAAGGGATTCTCCTGCCTCAGCCTCCTGAGTAGCTGGGTTACAGACACCCGCCACCATGCCTGGCTAATTTTTGTATTTTTAGTAGAGACGGGTTTCACCGTGTTGGTCAGGCTGGTCTCGAACTACTTACCTCAGATGATCCGCCTGCCTCAGCCTCCCAAAGCACTGGGATTACAGGCGTGAGCACTGTGCCCTGCCACTTTGTACACTCTTTTAACTTTTCTTTTCTTTTCTTTTTTTTTTTTGAGACGGAGTTTCACTCGTTACCCAGGCTGGAGTGCAATGGCGCAATCTCGGCTCACCGCAACCTCCGCCTCCTGGGTTCAGGCAAGTCTCCTGCCTCAGCCTCCTGAGTAGCTGGGATTACAGGCACGCGCCACCATGCCCAGCTAATGTTTTGTATTTTTTTTTTTTTTTTTGAGACGGAGTTTCGCTCTTGTTACCCAGGCTGGAGTGCAATGGCGCGATCTCGGCTCACCGCAACCTCCGCCTCCTGGGCTCAGGCAATTCTCCTGCCTCAGCCTCCTAAGTAGCTGGGATTACAGGCATGCACCACCACGCCCAGCTAGTTTTTTTGTATTTTTAGTAGAGACGGGGTTTCACCATGTTGACCAGGATGGTCTCGATCTTTCGACCTCGTGATCCACCCGCCTCGGCCTCCCAAAGTGCTGGGATTACAGGCTTGAGCCACCGTGCCCGGCCTGTTTTGTATTTTTAGTAGAGACGGGGTTTCACCATGTTGACCAGGATGGTCTCGATCTCTCGACCTCGTGATCCACCCGCCTCGGCCTCCCAAAGTGCTGGGATTACAGGCTTGAGCCACCGCGCCTGGCTCTTTTAACTTTTCTTTAGGTTTGAGAACATTCAAAATAAAAAGTTAAGGAGGAAAAAAGAAAAACAACAACAAAAATAAAAAAGATCACTTGGTTAATAAAAACACTGTTGGCTGGGCATGGTGTCTCACGCCTGTAATCCCAGCACTTTGGGAGGCCAAGGTGGGCAGATCACTTGAGGTCAGGATTTTGAGTCCAGCCTGGCCAACATGGTGAAACCCCACCTCTACTAAAAATACAAAAAAATAACTGGGTGTGGTGGTGCGTGCCTGTAATCTCCAGCTACTCCGGAGGCTGAGGCAGGAGAATCTTTCGAATCCAGGAGGTGGAGGTTGCAGTGAGCCAAGATTGTGCCAGTGCACTCCAGCCTTGGTGACAGAGTGACTCTGGCTGAAAAATACAATAAAATAAAATAATAAAAACACCATCATGATAAAACCTGCTATGCTTGTGCTTTGATATTACTAAACTCAGCATTGCATTTATTTGAAATCTTGAAATAATTACCTTTTTTTTTTTTTTTTGTCTTTTATTTATTTATTTTTAACACCTATTATGCCATGAATTCATAGGGAATAGGTTCCAGCAGCTCAGGCTCCTTCCCATTGGTTCTCACAAAGTGTGCTTCTCTGGGTGGAGCAGGCTGGCGCTTCAGTTGGACCCAGGTACCTTTCTCTTTGGCTTCTTTCTTTTTCTGATCATTTTCCTTCACACGTTTTAGGAAGCTATCTCGGCTTTTAGAGTGCTTGATGTGCTCAATACGCACATTAATTCTCTTGGCAAGAATCTTGCCCTTAACTTGTTTGTTTACAACAATGCCAACAGCATGCTGGGTAACATTGTAGACCCTTCCAGTTTTGCCATGATAACATTTGTGGGGCATTCCTTTTTGAACAGTGCCCATTCCCTTAATGTATACAATATCACCTTTCTTATAGATTCGCATATACGTGGCCAAAGGAACAACTCCATGTTTTCTAAAAGGCCTAGAGAACATGTATCGAGTGCCTCTCCTCTTTCCCTTTGTGTTCGTCATTTTGGCGAATTACTCTGCGACCACAGGGTAGCGGCTCAAGTCTGTGAAACGCTTTGCGCCCGGGAGCCACGCACAGGCCCTACCTGCGAAATAATTATCTTTAAAAAGTTGATACTTTTGCTGAGGTATCTAAATTTAGAGTACAAGGTAGCCATGGAGACACATTTGCTTCTTGAATCAGATGTTGAAAAGGTAAAGTGTGTTTTGGCAGGGTCTACCTTATCTACTGACTAGAAGAAAATGTTCTCCCTATGCTAATCAAATTTGGCTTTTACAGAACAACTATTCAGAAGAAACATTTGCTGTTTACCTACCAGTTTTGAGTTAGGGACAGATGCTGTTACTGTTCTGGAAGGGAGGAGCAAGAAGAGGCCAAAAATATTGGATAATGAAGAAAACCATATAGAGAGGATGAGATGCTTGTTTAGTTTTGGTAAGACAGGATGTAATTCTTAGTTCTGTTTATTTACATGTGGAGGAGCAGTAGGTTGAAGAAGGACCGTATAAATGGAGTCAAAAGAAAGGGCTTGTGAAAAAGATGAAGGGTTTTATTGGAATGGGAAATTGTTTGAAAAATAATGTGTAAACTGGTCTGGCATGGTCGCTCATGCCTGTAATCCCAGCACTTTGGAAAGTCTAAGTGGGTGAAGCAGTTGAGGCCAGGAGTTCGAGACCAGCCTGACCAACATGGCAAAACCCTGTCTGTACTACAAATACAAAAATTAGCTGGGCTTGGTGATATGCACCTATAGTCTCAGCTATTTGGGAGGCTGAGGCAGGAGAATCACTGGAACCTGGGAGGCGGAGGTTGCAGTGAGTCGAGATCGTGCCACTGTACTACAGCCTGGGTGACAGAGTGAGACTCTGTCTCGAAAAAAAAGTGTAAGTTTATTGTAGATGTTTTCAAGGACATAGAAAAGAACAAAGATGCCAAGCATGGTGGCTCATGCCTGTAATCCCAGCACTTTGGGTGGCTGAAGTGGGAGGATCACTTGAGCCCAGGAGTTCAAGACCAGGCTGGGCAACATAGGGAGACCTTGCCATTATACTTTTTTTTTTTTTAAGACGGGGTTTCACCATGTTGGTCAGGCTGGTCTTGAACTTCCAACCTCAGGTGATCCACCTGCCTTGGCCTCCGAAGTGCTTGAATTACAGGTGTGAGCCATCACACCCAGCCTATATACCACATTTTCTTTATCCACTCATCAGATGATGAGTGTTTAGGTTGGTTCTGTATTTTTACAAATGTGAATTGTGCTGCATAACCATATGTATAGAGGTATCTTTTGGCATAATGACTTCCTTTCCTTTCAGTAGGTACCCAGTAGTGGGATTGCTGGATTGAACGGTAGATCTGCTTTTAGTTCTTTGAGATATTTTCATGCTGGTTTCCATAGAGGTTGTACGAATTAACATTCCCACCAACAGTGCGTATGTGTTGCCTTTTCACCACATCCATGCCAACATCTATTGTTTTTTACTTTTTTTTTTTTTTTTTTTTTTTTTTGAGACGGAGTTTCGCTCTTGTTACCCAGGCTGGAGTGCAATGGCGCGATCTCGGCTCACCGCAACCTCCGCCTCCTGGGCTCAGGCAATTCTCCTGCCTCAGCCTCCTGAGTAGCTGGGATTATAGGCACGCGCCACCACGCCCAGCTAATTTTTTGTATTTTTAGTAGAGACGGGGTTTCACCATGTTGACCAGGTTGGTCTCGATCTCCCGACCTCGTGATCCACCCGCCTCGGCCTCCCAAAGTGCTGGGATTACAGGCTTGAGCCACCGCGCCCGGCCAACTTTTTTTTTTTTTAAGACGGAGTTTCGCTCTTGTTACCCAGGCTGGAGTACGATGACAGGATCTCAGCTCACCGCAACCTCCGCCTCCTGGGTTCAGGCAATTCTCCTGCCTCAGCCTCCTGAGTAGCTGGGATTACAGGCACGCGCCACCATGCCCAGCTAATTTTTTGTATTTTTAGTAGAGACAGGGTTTCACCATGTTGACCAGGATGGTCTCGATCTCTTGACCTCGTGATCTACCCGCCTCGGCCTCCCAAAGTGCTGGGATTACAGGCTTGAGCCACCGTGCCCGGCCTATTCCTAGGTATTTTTAAGCAGCTATTGTAAAAGGCATTAAGTCATTGGTGTGTAGCAGTGCTACTAATTTGTGCACATCGAAATTTTTTTTTTTTTTTTTTTTTTTTTTTTTTTTTGAGACAGAGTCTTGCTCTATTGCCCAAGCTGGAGTGCAGTGGCCTGATCTCAGCTCACTGCAACCTCCACCTCCTGGGCTCAAGCGATTCTCCAACCTCAGCCTCCCAAGTAGCTGGGACAACAGGCACATGCCACACAAATAGCTAATTTTAATTTTATTTATTTATTTATTTGAGATGGAGTTTTGCTCTGGTTGACTAGGCTGGAGTGCAGTGGTGCAATGTTAGGTCGCTGCAACCTACGCCTCCCAGGTTCAAGCGATTCTCCTTCCTCAGCCTCCCAAGTAGCTGGGATTACAAGCATCTGCCACCACACTTGGCTAGCTGGAGTGCAATGGCACGTGATCCCAGCTCACTGCGACCTCTGCCTCCCAGGTTCAAGTGATTCTCCTGCCTCAGCCTTCTGAGTACCTAGGACTACAGGCATGCACCATCTTGCACAGCTAATTTTTATATTTTTAGTAGATACGGGGTTTCACCATGTTGGCCAGGATGGTCTTGATCTCTTGACCTCGTGATCCACCTACCTCGGCCTCCCAAAGTGTTGGGATTACAGGCGTGAGCCACTGCGCCTGGCCAATTTTGTATTTTTAGTAGAGACAGAGTCTCACACACCAGCATGTTGCCCAGGCTGGTCTTGAACTCCTGACCTTAGGTGATCCACCCACCTTGGCTTCCCAAAGCGCTAGGATTACAGGCATGAGCCACAGTGCCCAGCCAGTTTAAAATTTTTGGATGGAGACAAGTTCTCACTATTTTGCCCAGGCTGGTCTCAAACTCCTGGGCTCAAGTGATCCACCCATCTTGGCCTCCCAAAGTGCTGGGATTACAGGCATGATCCTGCACCATGTAATATGCATTGATTTTGTAACCTAAGACATTCCTGAATTCATTTATCAAATCTGGGAGTCTTTTGGAGTTTTTATGGGTTTCTAGGTATATGATCATATTACTGGCAAACAGACAGTTTGACTGCTCTATTTTCCAATTTGGATTCCTTTCTCTTGCCTGATTGCTCTGATTCAGACTTCTAGTTCTGTGTTGAATAGAAGACAAGTGAGCATCCTTGTCTTGCTGCAGTTCTTAGGGGGAATCCTTTTGACTTTTCCCCATTCAGTATGATGTTGACTGTGGGTTTGTTATATATGGCGTTTATTATTCGTAGGTATATTCCTTCTATGCCTAGTTTAGTGAGGGTTTTTATCATAAAGTGATGCTGGATTGTATAGAATGCTTTTTCTGTATCTATTGAGATAATCATATTATTTTTGTTTTTAATTCTGTTTATGTTGTGAATCACATTTATTGACTTGTGTGTATGTTGGACCATCCCTGCATCCCTGGAATGAAACTGACTTGCTGATGGTGAATTACCTTTTTGATGTGCTGTTGGATTCAGTTTGCTGGTATTTTGTTGAGGATTTTTACATCTATGGTCATCAAGGATATTGGCCTGCCCTTTTCTTTACTAGCTTCAAAATATGAGTTAGGGAAGATTCATTCTTTGTCTTTTTTTTTTTTTTTTTTTGAGACAGAGTCTTGCTGTGTCGCCCAGGCTGGAGTGCAGTGGTGCAACCTCAGCTCACTGCAACCGCCGCCTCCTGGGTTCAAGTGATTCTTCCCCTTCAGCCTCCCCAGTAGCTGGGACCACAGGCACATGCCACCACGCCTGGCTAATTTTTTTGTATTTTTTGTAGAGACGGTGTTTCACCATGTTGGCCAGGATGGTCTCGATCTCTTGACCTCGTGATCCGCCTGCATAGGCCTCCCAAAGTGCTGGCATTACAGGTGTGAGCCACCTCCCCCAGTCTCTTTCTTCATCTTTTTGAATAGTTTCAGTAGAATTAATACCAATTCTACTGTGAAGGTTTGGTAGAATTTGGCTGTGAATCCATTGGCCCTGGGCTTTTTTTTGGAAGTTTAAAAATTACGGATTCAATCTCACTATTGGTCTATTCGAGATTACCATTTCTTCCTGATTCCAGCTAGGAGGGTTGCATGTTTCCAGGAATTTGTCCATTTCTTCTAGGTTTTCCAGTTTGTCTGCCTAGAAGTGTTCATAGTAGTCTTGAATTATCTTTTGTATTTCTGTGCTGGTGGTTGTAATGTCTCCATTTTCACTTCCAATTGAGCTTATTTGAATCTTCTTTTTTCTTTTGTTGATTAATCTACTTAATAGTCTATCAATTTTGTTTACCTTTCCAATGAAACAAGTTTTTCTTTCATTATCCTTCTGTATTTTTATGTTTCAAGTTCATTTAGTTTTGCTTTTATCTTTGTTACTTATTTTCTTCTGCTAACTTTGGGTTTGGTCTGCTATTGTTTCTCTAGTTCCTTGAGGTGTGACATTAGGTTGTCAGTTTGTAATCTTTCAGACTTTTTGATGTAGCATTTTATGACATGTGCTTTTTCTGTATCCCAGGGGTTTCATAACTTGTATCACTATTATCATTCACTGTGAAGACTTTTCCATCTTGATTTCATCATTAAACAAAAATCAACAGCAGATTAATTTCCATTTTTTTTGTTGTTGTTGTTTTGGTGGAGTTTTGAGGATTTCTTTTGCAGTTGATTCCTAGTTTTATTCCATTGTGGTCTGAGAAGATACTTGATATCTCATTCTCCTCCCTCGATTCTCTTACCTCAGCCTCCCTACTAGCTGGGATTACAGGCATGCACCACCACACCTGGCTAACTTTTTTTTTTTTTTTTTTTTTGGGACGGAGTTTCGCTCTTGTTACCCAGGCTGGAGTGCAATGGCGCGGTCTCGGCTCACCGCAACCTCCACCTTCTGGGTTCAGGCAATTCTCCTGCCTCAGCCTCCTGAGTAGCTGGGATTACAGGCACGCGCCACCATGCCCAGCTAAT